TTTGAATGTACATTCACATCTAGTTTAAACAATCTCAAAGAGAACCTTACATCTCACAAAGGGCATGTGACGACTCCCAGTGATGTTCCCAGGACCATATCTAAGGGGGTACCTTCCCTTTCTGAAAAAGGCACCCTAACTTTCAAAATAGATTCACAAAGTTCAGATAAACTCCTGTTACGTCTAATGCTTTACATGTCTCAGTCATCAAAATTTCACATGACTTGCAGGGAATACTGACTTACATACATTGCTGCTTACACAAAAGGTTAACCGTCCTGGTAGTAATTGAGGTGCTTAGTTGAGAACTCTTGATTTTAGCCTCATCTACCATTTTTAGAACAATGGAGAGGCAAAAATCCAGGTCACTGAATTTTCATACAGAAAGAAGCCGTTTGGTCCATCCAATCCATGCTAACTCTCTGTAGAGCAATTCAGTCAGTTTCATTGCTCAGTCTATTCTCAGTGGGTTCCAGGTTATTGTCACACATTGTGTAAAAAAATTCTTCCTTTATCACCCCAAATATCTTTTGTTAACGACCATAAAACTGGTTCCTCGCACCCCCACCCCACCCAGTCCTAGTTCCGTCAACTAATGGGAGTAGCTTTTCTTATCTATTTTAACAAAATCTGTCATAATCTCTGAAAACATCAGCTGTTGCTGTCCATTTATCACATACAGACTCTACTTCTATATATCTGTTCTAAAGAATCCTTTCTGTTTGGTTGCCAAAAGATTTACGGAAGACTCCATTATACTTTGAGCTATTAGTGCTGGCACCTTCACTGTTGTGTATAATTCAAAAACTCACAATAAGACAGTACAGAGACGGAATCTCCTTGCCATCACTGTTGCAGGGGTCAAAATCCTGGAACACCTCCCTAACAGTGGATATTCTCCCCTTGTCTGTAGCTACACCCAATAGAATGCAGGGATTCAAGAAAGTAGCTCACCACCTTCTCAAGGGATTTGAGGGATGAACAATAAATGCTGGTCTGGCCTATGACACCCACATCTCAGGAAGAAACAAGAGAAAAGAAATTGTATCCCTGAAGCAGGTGATCCCAGCGGTGAGTTGAAGCAATGCTGTATTACTCTCTTCATTTACTCTGATAGACATGAAGATGTCTGGCCACTGATCAGAAAGATCATTTGCACCAAAAGACATTTGCAACGATTGAAAAAAAACAATTTCAGATTGTCAGCTTTTAAATATTAGTAAATGAACAGTGGTAAAGTAAAATACTAGACTTCAGTACTTATCTTCCATAGAATACATTTTAAAACAATACTGTTGAACAGTCTCAGATGATCAGTGCAAATGATGTAAGAGCAAATCTCTTCCATGATTGTGCCCTGAGCAATAAACATCTGCCTTCTCTGCTACTTACATATACAGCAGAGTTCAGTCATTAATGTTCAAAGTTTTGCAGGTGAAAAATCAATTTTGTGGCATATGCATGAGCACATACATTGTGCATTAACCATCAGAAGATATTTTGGAGACATTTAATCAATTGCACACACCACAAGATCATATCTGTATGCTGTACGAGGTAAAGCTCTCTGGAGCTAAGATTTAAAAAACAGATTCAAATTCAGTTTTATAGGTATTAGGACAGGCCTTGACGACCAGGATTGAGAGTTAAGGAGCACTTATGACATACAAAGTCCTCTCCAATGTCCAGAGAGTGCTGAACTTCCTTTAAAATATTTTTATTAATGTTTTCATCCCTTATTGTAGAGGCAGAGCTGCATCCTTTGACAAGACATGACAAAAACTTGTTTAGCAAAAACAATTTGGAACAGGTAAATTTCAGGATGTTCTTAAGTGAGGACAGGTGGTGTGACTACCAGTGAGGTAGGTAGAGAGATCCAGCAGATAGTGCTAAAGGAACCTCAGTCCTTGTCTAAACAGGTTTGAGATTCTTGATCCCTGTATGGACGAGACTGGGGGCTGTCGGGAGAATGAACAAACTGACCATAGCACCATGGTATAAGGAGCGATTCAAAAGCAGGAAGAAAAGAGAAATTTGGTTGCAATCGAGGCTAGTATAGTCAGAGGAATAGCCACTGTTCTCTGTGGCCAGGATCAAGAGTACTGAAGGCTGTATTGCCTGCCTGGTGTCTGGGTTCAGCACATGGCATCTAGGCTGCAGAGGAGTCACAGAATCTCTACAGGGTGGAAAGTGGCCATTTGGCCTATCGGGTCTGCACCAATCCTATGAAGAGCATCCCACCCAGACTCCCATCCTATCTTCATATCTCCACATTCGCCATGGTAATTCCATGCAGCCTGCTGATTCCTGGACACTATGGGGCAATTTGTCATGGGCAATCCATCGAACTGGCACATCTTTGGATTGCAGGAAGAAACTGCAATACCCAAAGGAAACCCTTGCAGACAAAGGGAGAATGTGAAACTCCACACAGACAGTCACCAAAAGCTGGAACTGAACCTGGGTCCCTGGCACTATAAGTCAACAGCTAATCACTGTGCCACTATGCCACCCAAACAAGGAACATGGAGTGGGAGGGGAAGATCCAGTTGTCGTGGTCTGCATAAGTACCAATTCTACGCACATGGCTGCCAAAGCTGCAGGTTGGAGTTTGATTGCTCCTTCGTTATCTTTTTTATTATCAACTTATTGAAAGTTTGGAGAATAGAATCTCACTTATAAAACTTAAATGGATATTCCTTCGAGCCTACTGGAAACCGTATGCATTGATTGGAGTCTTCAGAAACCAAGATTCAATTCCATATACCTGTGATTTGCCTGTGATTCCATGTATTGTGGAATCAGCCTAAGTGAACTGGCCAGGTACATCTCTCCTTTTGTTTTATCTCTTAATTATTTACCTATCTGTCTTTGGGAGGGTTGGGGCTAGAATTGGATAAGATTGCATTTAAATCAAAGACACGAATTAGGTTACGCTGTTGTTTGCCTTTGTTCTGCTAAAGCTAATGCGAGAATAATAAATTATTTTGTAGACCCCACCATCCAGAGCATCTTCCACTCCTTGTCCCTTTCTGCCTTCAGCAAGGACCATTCCCTTCGCCACTCCTTAGTTCAGGCCACACTCCCCACTAACCACTCCAAACCCCCCTGGTACCTTCCCCTGTAAACATAAAAGATGCAACACCTGCCCACTCACTGCCTCCCTCACCTCCATTCAGGGTCCTAAACAGTCCTTCACCTGCATCTTCTCCAACTTAGTCTACTGAATCCAGTGCTCCCAACGTGGTCTTCTCTACATCAGTGGGACCAAACATAGACGAGGTGACTGTTTCACCAAGCTTCTTTGCCTGGCCCAAAAAGGCCAACCTAACTTCACGGTCACTGCCCATTTGAACACCACACCAACCCCCCTCCGACTCCCACTCTGACATGACCATCCTCAGCCTCCGCCAGTGTTGCAGTGATTCAGAACGCAAATTTGAGGAACAATATCTTATCTTCTATCTGGGTATCCTACAGCCCACAGGACTCAACATTGAGTTCTCTAATTTCAAAAAACCTTCTCACTCATCCCCTGGCTCCCTTTCCAGCACTGCCTCCTCCCTTCCATTCCACCTGCTGATGTTCCCTTGCAGCTACTAACCGGATCCATCCCTCCCATCGACCAATCACGTCGTACCTACTACCGATGTCCACTTTCCGCTATCCTCCTTCCGCCCCCTCTTTATCTGCAGCACCCCCTACCCCCACATCCAGTCCTGAAGAAGGCTAATACCCCAAACTTTGACTTCTCCTTTCCTCCAGATGCTGCCTAGCTTGCTGTGTTCTACCAGCCTCCTGTCTGCCTATCTTGGATTTCAGCATCTGCAGTTTTTTTCTCTCTACTGGCATATATAGAGGATTGGCCGACTGGCAGAAAGCAGAGAGTATATGTAAAGGGGTCTTTTACAGGATGGCAGCTGGTGACTTGTGGAGTAGTGCCGCAATTAATGTTTGGATCACAACTATTAACATTATACATTACCGATCTCGACAAAGGAACTGAGGCACTGTTGGTAAGTTGTAGATGACACTTGCAGTGTTCAGGAAGCAGGGAGGCTGCAGAAGGACTTGGACAGGCTAGGTGAGTGGGCAAAGAAGTGGCAGATGGACTACAATGTGTGAAAGTATGAGGTTATGCACATTGGTAGGAAGAATAGAGGCATAGTCTATTTTCTAAATGAAGAGCGGCTTCGGAAATCCAAAGCACAAAAGGACTTAGGAGTCCTAGTTCACGATTCTCTTTAGATTAACATGCAGGTTCAATTGGCAATTAGGAAGGCAAATACAATGTTAACATTCATTTCAAGAGGGCTAGAGCACAAGAGCAGAGACGTACTACTAAGGCTTTGCAAGGCTGGTCAATTGCATTTGGAATATTGTGAGCAATTTTGGGCCCCATATCTATGGCACAAAATTAAAGAGCTATCCAGAGGAGGTTTACAAGAATAATCCCAAGGATGAAGGGATTGTTGTATGAATAGTTGAGGATTCTGGGTCTGTACTCGATGGAGTTTAGAAGGCTAAGGGAGATCACATTGAAATTTACTGAGGGGCCTGGATGGAGTGGATACTAGAAGAGACTAGGACTCGAGGGTACAGCCTCAGAGTGAAGGGATGACCCTTTATAACAAAAATTGAGGATGAATTTCTTCTTGGTTAATCTGTGGAACTCTTTGCTGCAGAGGTCTTGAAGAACAAGTCATTGAGTGCATTTAAGACAGCAATAGATAGGTTCTTGATTGGTAAGGGGATCAAGGGTTACGTGGAGAAAGCAGGAGGATGGAGTTGAGAAACACATCAGTCAAGGTTGAATGGCAGAGCTGATTCGATGGGTGAAATGACCTAATTCTGCTCCTATACTTTATAATCTTATGGGGTTATGAAACTGCGTAAATTATGGACTTTAAAAAATTGTGCAAAGACTTTCAAATAGTCTTATGTACTTAAATTTGTGACGGAAATGCCAGACATTCTGATATTTTTATGTACAGTCTTACCTCTTGAGCTGTTTTTGTCATAGCAATTGCTTCAGCCTTGCCCAAGTGTTGCACCATCTTGTAGAATAAACCATCTTTGTTCTCTAGAAGAACATAGGGCTCTGCGTACTCTGCAACTCTTCCTGCTTCCAGCACCTACAGTCAACAAATAAAAAATTGCTTAATTTGACTGTCAATTAAAGTAATCTCAATTTCCAAGCTCTGTTTTTGGATTTGTTAGACTGTTAACTTGAAAGCAGAATGTGGCACACAGAATGTTAAAAGGAAGAGATACAGGACAAGATTCAACAGAGTATTGCCACCTGTGCCCCTCCCAAATAAACCATGTGGGTGCACGTATGTATGAGAGAGGGAAGAGTGATCACATCTACCTTGCAGCAATTTAATGCTGGGAGCAGCCTGAATTACTTTAAGATGAGACATCTGCACCTATCACAGAAGCATGTCTCTCTAGAAACCCAAATGCCAGACAGGTACAATAGCCACTTCTGGGACTACAGGTAGTCCTACACACATGGGAGCCCAGTTAAGTCTGAAGTCAGGGGTCTCAGTGAGCAGGTAAATGGGTGTTGATCTTGGATTCAAGACGCTGGGGTTAGAATCAGAGGTGAGAAGGTGCCCCTGCCTCTAATCAGCCCAAGGTATCGATCACCCTACGCTTGATACCAGTCTTAATCCTAAAGCCACTGGACTTCCTTCACAGCCTTTCTCCACTCCAGATAAAACACTGGCACAAGTGGTATGGCCTTTAACCAGCCATAAATTGGCCCAAGGCCTTCCACAAACCTGTAAAATTTCAGGCAGGTCTGGACCAGGCAGTGGAAAGGCCGTTCAGTTGATTTACAGTACACAACTGCCTTTAAACACATCAGCAAGGAGGTGTGAAACACAGCTCAGACAGACTGAAGGACCCAAAAATTGAGTTTTTGTCGTCGTTTTTTGAACACCATGTAATTTGATTTGGCACTAGACTTCAGATCTGATCTGAACTCAAAGTAGCATCTTCCAGTTAATATATACAATCCGAATTGAATCTGTTGTTAAGAAAGAAAACCCTGAAATGGGCTTGGTTCTGCAATGGTACACACTATCACAGATGATTAATTCTTAGTTAATCTTTCATGATATTGCCCTTAGGAGAGTGTCTTATTTTACAGAAATGAATATGCCATATGATTGGTTGTGGTAGGTGAGACAATGTTGTATGTTGACATGGTTTCAGAGGGGTGTAGGAGAGCGATAGCTATGGCAAATAAAAGTTGAGTTTTTAAGAGAGGTGAAGATGCTCAGGCTGTAGGAGAGAAGGATAGCATAGAGGCTAGGTTGAGTGAATCCAGCTGTTTGTCATTGTAGACAATCTCTATTTTGAAAAATTTATTCTTTATACAATAAACTGAAAAGTCTAATATCGCAGGATATCTCGATACTGAGTTCCTATTTTATCCTTACTGGGATCATATCAATTTTAAATCCCTGTTGAAGGATTTGCTTTCTGTTTCTGTTCACTGGATTTCCCAGTTCATTGACAGTCCAGGGTCCTTTTCCCATTAAAGGAGGGATATGCATCTCTCCTTAGTTCCACTTGTCCTTAGTTTCTCTCAAACAAAAACACCCTCCTCTCAATAACATCACAGTTTCGGTGCACCGCCATTTGATTTTAGGTCCTGTCTCCATCTCTCCATCCTTCTCACTGCTTTTCATGTTGGCATATTGGGCAGTAGTCAAATCACTCATTGCTGGGGGGCAATTTACAAAATAAGAATCCCTGCTTCCAAGAAACTGTGGAATATGACTGACATTTCATGCTGGATTTTGTTGATTGGGATGGTCTTTACAGTGCCAACAGCAACACAGAAATTGCTTGAATCCTGGGATAGAGCGGTACCTTGTGTCCAATCACAGACAGAGTGGTTACCATGCTGATCTGCATGTAGAGAGATCTCCAACCAACAAAAGCCATCCTTTTCACTTGGTTGTGTCTTAAACATACATGAATGCTCCTTGTTTTTAAATTATAAATGGACTTGGTACATTGAAGGTTGTCCAAAGGCTATTTTAAAATTTGTAGGTTCCAATGGATTCAAGGTGTGGTTTGCATATATCACAACATAATTATTTAGGTGCCCAATTCTAAGACGTGTCCACTCTTACAGGTTGTAGAAAGGGGTAGCATGGTGGATTTAAGATGAAAGGGATGCTTAGGTTTTGGGTTACTGAATGAAGAGAACAGTGACATTATGAAAAAGAAACAAATTACAGGCAGAGATTAAGAACCGAAAAGAGGAATTGCAAATGAAATGGAATGCAAAAGCAATGCATAAGGTACTGCCAAGCTGCAGCGGAAGAGAAGAGAAACAAAAAAAAAACTGGACTAGATCTTCAGAGTCACGGTGACTTGGGAGCCCTTTCAAATGGCTGTCGGGACCCAATTCTGGATTTATTGATTTTTGCGTGTGAGGGTTGTTGAGGTCTCAAGCACACACCAGACACTTGTGGCTTGGCTGGCCCGGTTGTGGAGATAGGCAGGAACTAGTCCTCCCCAATTTCCATTGAGCCAGGTACTAAATAAAAACCGAAAGAGCTGTGGATGCTGTAAATCAGGAACAAAAACAAAGTTGCTGGAAAAGCTCTCATAGCAGCTGTGAAGGAAAAAAGAGTTAGCGTTTCAGGTCCGGTTCTGAGGAAGGGTCACCGGACCCGAAACGTTAACTCTTTTTTCCTTCACAGATGCTGCCAGACCTGCTGAGCTTTTCCAGCAACTTTGTTATTGTCCATTGAGTCAGGGTCAGTTATTAAGGAGTCATAGTTCACTGTAACTCAAGAACGTTGTGGGCCATAGACTGCGTGGTATGAAAGCTTTGTTGAAATGGTCCTCCTCATTCTACCCGATATTAGGCTATGATTTTCCCCTTCAATCCCTCTGTGGTTCATCTTGCCCATTGTGCCGAGTAAACTCCTTCGAACAGCCCTCACGCTAAGCTACGGCACGTCCATGGCCATTTACCTGCTGTATACTGTACAGAACCCTATAGTGGCAGTTGAGTGTGGAAAAGTGATTACTTCATAATCTTCCACTATGTTAAATGAATTCCTTTCTAATCCAGGACAATACAAGTGTCAATCATCCAGAGTCTTTAATGTTTCAATGCTCAAAATGTAAGACACCTGAAACCAATTAACCTTCTGTAAACAGACATTGAGAAACTGATAGCGATCAGACAGTCAAGTCATCAGTCAAGCTTAGATGTATCAGATCGCTAATGGTTGCGTGGCTCATAGCCAAGACTCATTATGAATTAGAACAAAGAAGGACAAAGCACAGGAACAGGCCCTCCAGCTCTCCAAGCCTGTGACGACACATTTTCCCCTTCCATACTAAAACTGTCTTCACTGACAAGATCCATATCCCTTTATTCCCTTCTATTCATGTATTCATCCAGATGCTTCTTGAATGCTGCTATTGTGCCTGCTTCTACCGCTTCCTCTGGCAGCACGTTCAGGCATTCACCACCCTTTGTGTAAAAAAACTTGCCTCACACATCTCTTTTAAACATCGCCACGTCCCGCACCTTGAACCTGTGTCCCCTAGTAATTGACCCCTCCACCCCGGGAAAAGCCTCATACTTTCCACTCCCATTCACCATCTTATAAACTTCTATCAGGTGGCCTTCTCAACCTCCTGCATTCCAGTGAAAATAAACCCGTCTATCCAACCTTTCTTCATAGCTAAAATCCCCCAAAACAGGCAACATCCTGGAAGTCTTTTCTGTACGGTCTCCAAGACACTCACATCCTTCTGGTAGTGTGGTGACCAGAACTATACACAATATTGCAAGTGTGGCCTAACTAAAGCTCTATAATGCTATAGGATAACTTGCCTATCCTTACACTCAATGCCCCTTCCAATGAAAGCAAGCATGCCATAGGCCTTTTTTTTTAAACTGCCTTAACTAACTGCACTGCCACCTTCAATGATCTGTGGACCTGCACACCCAAATCCCTCTGCATATCAATACTCCTGAGGGTTCTGCCATTTGCTATATAATTTACACCTCTACTTGACCTTCCAAAATGCATCACCTCACATTTGTCCAGATTAAACTCCATTTGCCATTTTTCTGCCCACGCGTTCAACTGATCTATATCCTGCTGTATCCTTTGATAATCCTCCTCACTATCTGCAACTCCACCAATCTTTGTATCATCCACAAACTTAATAATTAGATCAGCTATACTTTCCTTCAAGTCATTTATGAACAGCAGAGACACCGGCACTGATCCCTGTGGAACACCACTAGTCATCACCCTCCATTCCGAGAGGCATCCTTCCACTGCTACCCTCTGTCTCCTATGACTAAGCCAGTTCTGTATTCATCTTGTCAGCTCATTCCTGATACCATGTGACTTCACCTTTTGAACCAGTCTGCCATGAGGGACCATGTCAAAGGCTTTACTGAAGTTTATGTAGACCACATCAACTGCTTTTCCCTCATCAATCATCTTCGTCACCTCCTCAAAAAACTCAAATCAGGTTAGTGAGACATGACGTCCCTCTCACAAAACTATGCTGTCCTTCACTAATAAGTCCACTTGTTTCTAAATATGTATAGATCTTGTCCCTGAAAATCTTTTCCAATAATTTCCCTACCATCGACAATGGCCTCATAGGCCTGCAATTTCCTAGATTATCCCTGCTACCCTTCTTAAACAATGGGACAACATTGGCTATTCTCCAGTCCTCTGGGATTTCACCTGTGGCCAAAGAGCATACAAAGATGTTTGTCAATGCTCCAGCATTTTGTTCTCGTCTCCCCCAATATTTTCTGGGATAGATCTCATCAACACCCGGGACTTATCTACCTTAATACTTCTCCATTGAGAACCCAAATAACCATTAGGTTAGGGGGCGTGATTGGCTATGGGTGGTGGGATGAGAGGCATATCTTATTATGGAGGTATGAAGGGCCACGGAGGAGTGGTTTATGTGGCATGAGCTGGATGAGGGGATTTCATGGTTTAGAAGTCTTTTCTTTTTTTTGCTATGGGATGAAGTCAGTCTCATAATGAGCAGTCATTGGCTGCCTCTGAAGTATACCTGGGGTTGATTGGCCCAACTACAGCAGGCACCTGCAATT